GTGTTTTTTTTTTTTTTGCAAGACTCGCTCATCCTGGTGGTCGTTACGCCTTCTCAATAGCTCGTCTTTTTTTTAGCGTATTCAAATCCGGAGGATTACGGTAATTATTATGTTTTTGCTTCTTACAACCAGTAGTTGTACAAAAACAAATTTAATTTGATTTATGCGCATCACCAGAGGTAATAATTATTTTGGTTCTGTGGGTGAAAAAAAATATTATATTATATTATATTGGATTTTAAAAAGAACATTTATAATAGGTAAATCAATTAGTTAAATACAGTCAAATAATAACTACTCGCATACACGTGTAATACGCATACTAATAATAATATGTTCTCATTATAAATACTATTTATTATCATTGTGAATATATTAAACAAGATATTATAATTGGGTAGGTACATATAACACTTAAAACAAAAATACATACAAATAAATACTTAATGTCTTAATAAAAGCATAATGCAATTCAAATTAAAAAAAAAAATAAAGTCTTATGATTTCATACGCAAGGCATCTGTTAAAATGAATAATGAAATCAATTTTTTTTATAAATGTGAAAATAGAGAAAAATTCTATATTCTCTAATCATTATTATTTCTTCTTAAGTTATCATTTATTTGTTTAATATATTCTATGAATACAAATATATTATATTCAAGAAAATTAGGAAACAAAATAAAATATATATTATAATATTATTATTATATTCTACGAATATTTTAACATAAGTTCTGACGTATTTTATTAACATCAGTTTTATCTTCCTACGTACACTATACACTATAATACTTAATACCTATATATTATTTTTATTACTGTTGTCTGTTTTGCACCGATTGCTAGTTTTCTAACTCATAACTTAATAACTTGATGCATCCTTTATATACAATAAAACATAAAACTATCTTTTCTCACTAATGATTAGATACAGTGAAACTTAATATGAGATAGATATTTGTAGATATGATATTATTATCATTTTTATTTTTTTGTTTTCAGCCATAAAAAAATATAACTTTTTATAAATTTAATAGTCAAACAACTTTTATATATTAGATGGTAAAATACATTAAAAACAAAAGAGTTTGCACTTTCATTGCCTGTATCTTTTATTATAACAGATTTTTAAAACTTTCTAACTAATAGATATTATATTATATCATTTTTTATATGTATACGGACGCATGTAAATTAGTTCTGATCACCATATTTTATAGTTATAGAAATAACTGACCAGTTGGTTCATAATATTATTTATACCACACAAATAAATATCGGAGTTCAATAAATAACATTTCAATATCGACATACTAGTATTATTAATTTGACAGTAAATTTATTATACCTACGAATTAAACAATAATGTTTCATTTAATATGACATTATAACATAAATCAATATGATGCATTTCAATTTTTTTAACATATTATATATTTTGATAAAATTTTAAGCTGAAAAAAAAATTAAAGATATTTACAGTTATTAATAATAATTAATAACCATTCGTCGATGTATATGTTATAAATAATAAACATCGACATTTATAGATAATTATACTTTATATTTTGTAAATATATATTGACCAGGAATAAGGAAAAAAATATACGCCACAGTTCACACAACTGTATACCTTAGTTATAAAGTTATAAACGATTATAAAATATATTCACTAAAATACTTTATTAGTATTTGTTAATAATAGCACGATAAAAAGAAATTTTTAATAAATTAATGAGCTTATTTTAAAAATAGAATCATGATCATGGTTGAATTAAAAAAATATTGGCTGGCACATACAGTATCTATTTAGTAGATAGTAGGTATTTAAGTAGTTGATAATTGAATTAATTACTTAATTGTAATATTAAAACATATTCAAATTAAATACCTGTAATATATAAGTAAACAACTTCATATATTATCTACTATATTTTTTTATTTGTGTATGTTTATGTTTAAAATATGATCAATGATCATATTATTAAATATTTCAAATTAAATTAAGATTCAAATATTAAAATAAATTAAATAATTTTTTGAGAACTATCAAATGATATTACTTATTGACTATATTGATATTTACTCATACATTATGTTTAAGCAATATAAATATGAAGCAAAATCAAATATTTTAAATACTTATTTTGCTGTATTCAAATAATTATTAGACTATTGTTTAAGGCGGTAAACGGTACTTGTTCATTTGCTTATAATACGATAAAAATAGAAGTACCGTTCTCTGTCAATTCATCAATACATATTATTAAAGTTTACAACCAGTTATTGACTATAACTAAAATAAACAATAAACATATACGTATACAGGTTTTTAAAGCCATTAATTACTGTGCACCATTAGTAGAACTATATAACCAGGCTCATAGTCATTACTAATTACTAAGACTAGGAACTTTTAGGGGTTCACATGTTTTTTAATAACCATTCAAAACATAACTAAGTAATATAGAAATTTACTTCATAGTGTTAGAATTAAAGCCTTTTTTCCTTTTAATTGTATATTTTATTATATTTGTACTTTTAGTACATATTTTACATATTTGCTTGAAAAAAAAAATAATAAACAGTGTAGTTATAGAGAATAATATTTTTTATACGTACTATACAATGTTTGATATTAATTTTTTGGAAATCGAAAAAAATAGATTAAAATGGTTAAATATGAATAATTAAATAATCTATCAATTGTGTGTTTTCTCAAATATTTGTGTATTATGAAAACATAGTCAGTCGAAAAAGAATACGCCGAATACGGTCAGTTGATGTTAATTCGTCTGTTGGTATCGTATGTGTTTTCATCTCACGTTAATATAGTTAGTGTAATAATCTAGATTCAGTGCAGTTGTTGTGGAATTTAAATTAAAAATGCCAAATATAATAATAAATAAATTCATAAATTTTGGTTTTTTAATAAAAAATAAAATATTTTCAATAACATATTTTAGAATTTTTGCATACTTTTAGAGCATATATGATGATTTTTAAGAGTTTAAATATATGCATATTTTAAGGTTTTTTTAGAATGAAGACCAGGGCCTTATTCATTACAATACTGAAACCACTAATTTATATTATTCTGTTAAAGCTGCTTTGGAAATTAGCCGGTTGATGTATACGCTGTATTATACTCAACACATCTATCCGATCATATAAGTACATAAAACAATATTAACATTATAAATATATATCATAGATAAGTACTAAAGCAATCATAATTAAAAAATCTAAAAAAACATTCCGACAAATTAGTTGGTAATAACATTTTCATCATTTTAGATCACATTTATTTATAAAAGTAGAAATCATTAGATGCGACGATGAATCGTCTTGTTATCTATTGTTGTAAAATTCCAAACAGAAGAAAGTGGTTTAACAAGTAATAACAGATAAAATAATGTAATAATGTTACAGTATATTATATTACTTTATACATAGCTGAGTGTTTACATATTTATTTGGAATAAACGAGTTTATCATATCACGAAAACTTTTATTCGATTTATTATAAAACCTTATAAATATGTAATATTTTATTATTGTTGTATACATAAAATTCTGTTCACAGTTATCTACCACTAATGCATTTTATTTATTACAGAAAGCATGGACAATGTATGGTCATAAAATCGTTAGACACTTGGCAACATATCTTTACATAAGCAACCACTTACCTCATTACTATAATTATATGTAAAATGAACACAACATCAACTTGAATATAAATACACATTTAAATACAAACTAATAATAAATTCCATAAAATAGAACAAACTAGAATTTTTTTTAAGCTAAATTTATTTTTATTACGACTAAAAGGGTATTTATAATAATCTCTCATGTTTAAAACTTTAAACTTAAGATATGTATTTATAAAATATATAGAAATTAAAATAAGGATATTTAATATATATAGGTAAGGAATAGGACATAAGTACTAATAAACTTTGTTTTTGTACGTTTAATTCAAATGCCTATACAATTACTCAATTACATATTAATATGCTTACAAATTACAACTTATCATACATCAAATTTTATATTTGTTATATTTGAAATAATATAATCTTTAAAAGCCTAATAATATTCTATGTTTTTACTAATATTTAAAATCTATTACTCATAATTTAAAATAATACTTAAGAATACATTACTGTCAAACTTCAGAAAAAAAAAACAATTTTATTACAACTTTATTTATTCTGAACTATAAGACTTCTATCACTTTAATTTATACAAAATACAAATACAGTAAATTATAATTTATTTAATTCACATTTAATTATAAAGTACCTACGTTGTATTTAAATATATATTACATGATATTTAATCAGTCAACAAATTAAAACATTTATCTAATGTAAATATTCACTCATTAGATATTAGAATTTTTTACACTGCAATATAAATTACATGTATCTTATAATACAGTTTAATACTTTCGTGATTATTTATAGATATGGATATAATATGTTGACTAGTATATTATTATGACTATTTATCGTGTTTTAAAAAAAAAATATGTAATAATTATTGAATTATGTCTTTAACGAAATTAAAGTAGCCGTGACGAATATTATTTCAAATTTATTAAAACTATTGTTATCTGGCTAAATTTTAAACTATAAATAATGTTCAAAAATAAATGTGAATAATATATAATTCATTTGGATTATCTATTATACACTAATAATACCTACATCTAGTATACTATATTTTACGATCTAATTAAAATCTCATTTTATTTATTTTCTGTACACTCCATTTCAAAAATATATTTAATTAAATAACCAGAGGCACTATTCTTGAACTCGTTTGACGAGATAAAAATTATTCAAGATAAATAATATTTGAGTCAAATATCATTAATTTTATCAACCTATAAAATATATCGGTAAAACTTTGATTGATTAACAAATATTGGCGGGGGAATTCTAAAAAGAAGAACAGTTCATTATAAACTAACAAGTAGGTAGTCTGTGGATAGACATTGTTCGTTATCACGGTAGTTGGTTAAATATCATTTAACCGATCGTTCAAGTCTCTCAGAATGGCACATAATAAAAGGTAAATACTAGGCAATGGACGCCTACAAATTATAATCACAAAAATAATTTATTAACATAAACTAACTATACTGCTTTAGTACATTATCATAATTTATAATAATTATTACAACATAATATAACAACTCTTTTCGATTATTTATAATCGTAATCTTTATTCATTAAAGTAAATGCTTTTATTTGAAAATAACTAAAAAATTAATTAAATCAATTTTTTTTTCACATATTTTCAAATAGCGTATATAATTAATTATTACTATGAAAATTATTGTTTAAATTCACTATGACGTAAAATTATGTACCTATTTTATATTTTAACTGAATTGCATAATTAGAAAAAAATTAATAATAATATTATTTAGCAAATAAATATACATAGTTAAATTAATAAATGACGAAAAATACAAAAATTAGGAACTCCCCTAGAAGCTTATCTTGTGATGTAGAGTTATATGCAATCAAATGTTTATTTCAATTAAAATTTAGAATTTAATACTATATATTTAAATTTTAATCTATATTCAATTTTTGAAATAAAACCATATTACTTAAATGATATAAAATATACGCATTTTTAATAATACTACGATGAAAATACTCTATAAATATTAAAGGTACTAAAATAATAATAATAATGTTAAGTTTAAATTATTAATAGCTATGTGAATTGTACTTTTTCTATAGCCAAAAAGATCAATTGAAATTTCAAGTATGTGTTAATGTATTAAGAAGGCCTTGACCTGTAATGTATGATCTTGAATTTTAGTAGGAAATTATTTTGTATTCATCGTAGCTTAGAAGTTAATGGACTCAAATATAAAGAATATTATATTATCTTAGCTTAAACTGTTAAAAAACAAAAAGATTATTCAAAATTCTATTCAGTTATGAAAACTTCTAAAACAATTTCTATTTCTCTCCATTTATATGTATTATATTTTTGTTCTATTTGAGACTACTTTTTACTCTTAATAAGTTATAGGGAAAGTGATAAACTTACGCATTTTATAGTCCGTTTTTTTAATATTCGACGTAATTTGAACCGTTAAAAATAATATAATATCAGTAATTAAACTATAATATTTTCATATTTTGTGAATATATAATTTCAATAAAGTACATCTTCATAGTAAATATTTTTTTAATTCATCATCAAAATAAATATAATATATTTGATCATTTATAAATTTATGATATGTAACCCACATACTTAATAACAGTTGATGTTTTCGTATTGATTTTTGTCCATCATGAATTAAGTATGACAATAAACATTATGATCGAATACTAATTGTCATTCTTGGGGAAGTTTATCATTATATGAATAGAAAAATGTTTAACAGCGATGCCCTATAATTTATAAATACTTTGTAGGTCAGTTCAGTTTCAGGTCATAGAACTTTACCATATGTATATATATATATATAACATATATTGTTCTTCACAATTAAAGTTACGGTACTCCAAGTACGTGTCCGTACGAATTGCACTGTATATCATGAATACTAATGTATGTCAACCAGAGCAGGCGTGTCTTAGGCGAATTTATTTACTTTATTTCTTTTGACACTCCAAGACCAGAGTCAAAATAGTGACTCATATAATATATATCTCATATGTACCGATATCTCACGAAGATGCAAAATTGTGAAACTGCTGAACACTTTGTAGCTGATCGTCTTGCGACTTGTTACTTCCGCATTGAACACAGATAGACTTGTCTTGTTTTTCTGTTTTAGGCCCGTTATCGTGATGTTATTCCTGATAACCATTATATGCATCGTGACCTCGTTGCCGGCCTCAATGAACATGCCACTAGTAGACCCAGGTAAGCAAATCATGCTTAAAATTATTTTTGAATGTTTTCCCAGGAAATTTTAACTATTAAATATAAACATTTTGAAAACTTAACCTAGCTCAATCTGAATTATGAAAAATTGTAATATTATTCATAAATTAAATTCTTAGTAATTAAAAACCAAACTTAAGTTATTTAAATTATCTATCAGAACTAAAATAATTAATTTATCAATATACCAAACATTAAAGTATTGGTAATACAATTTTTTTTTATATATAAATATTGTATTTATTAAGCCATATGACTTAAACTGTTTTACAAGAGTAAATTTTATAAAATGTATTATTTTCATGTTGTAGTAACATTTAAATTAAATGAGTTATTACACTAATAAATTTGATTGAAATTCCATTAATTAATAAAAGAACCTTTTATTACTTGCCATCTGTGTTCTATATAAATAATATTTTACTTTTTTATATTTATTTTAATTAATATTATTTTATTTTAAGGGCTCTTTGTAATATCAGGCGTAAAAACTTGTGGGAACACTTTCGGTTATTGTCTTCTTGGTAGTGATTGCACAATGGATGATGATTTTCTGCCAGATCCTACTGGTAACTGTGATGGTTTAAAACGTGCATTCACTCCAAGTGCTCCTTTTGCTTGTTGTAAGTTTAACCAAAGATCGTCTCAATCAGGAACATCGATAAAAAGTATTAATACTAAAAAGACAACTAATATTGTAACTAAAGATAAATTTGGAAGAAATACAAGAGAAAATATAGATTCTTTACAAATAGACAGTGATCAATTGGCCAAACTAAATGAAATTGAGTTGGTGGTTAAAAAAATTGTCGAACAATTAATAAATGAAACAGCAAATAATATTAAAGCCGAAGAAAATATATTCAATAATAAAACAAAAATGGAAGAAAATACGATTAAAAATAGTATAAATGATGAAAAACCAACAACGAATGACATTATTGAAATAAAAGATTATACCACTGTGGATCCTTCAATAAACCTAGAAGAAACATTAGACGAAGAATATTTGAAAAAAGATATACCTCTAGAAATAAAAAAAGACAATGAAACAAATACATTGGACACAACGGAATTAGAGGCAGAAGAGTCAAGCATTGATGATGAATTTAAAGCTGAAAAACGTATTTGTCAAAAATCCTGTAAAAGTGAAATAATTTTTTTAGTTGATAAAAAACCAATATGTTATGGAACGCTTTTAGATGACATATGGATACTTACTTCTGCCACATGCGCTTCAAGGTAAAGAACTAAAAAATATCAGAATCTTGTTACCATGAAAATAAATATCATGTATTAAATTATCAACCCAATCAGAAAATTCATGTTTTCAATTTATTATGTTTATGTTATACAATTTAAACCAATTATAATTTGACATTAAAAAACAATATTTAGAAATGTTTGATTACGCATATAAATTAAATATAAAGTCCAAAATAAATAGAAATAATTCCCTACATTTTTTATAACTTACATTTTTCTTATAAATTATTATTTTAAATTTAGGTTAAATAAATCAGATATAAGGAAAGTGGTAGTAAGTCGAAAAGATTCAGTGGGACCTACACTGACCATTTCAAACATATTAGTGCATGAAAACTTTAAATCGCCAGTTTCTAAAAATGCACCAGAAAACAATGATTTAGGTAAGTACTTTTATATTAAAATGTGTTCATCAGTTCACCACCATTAATTTAAATTTGTATAAAATATTATTTAGCTCTAGTTAGTTTAACTGTTCCACTTGAAGGTCAAGAATGTACTCCGTGTTTTAGCCAAACAAGTACCATAACAAATGAAGTATGCAAGACTTTTCAAAACTCTAATTTTAAGAATGCAGTGAAAACAAGTTTGTATAAATTTAAAAAGAAAATATTGTGACTATATCATACATTTAATTTTAGCCGAAAACTGTGAAGGCCGAGTACAGCTACGAAATTTGATTAATAATCCATACATAATACTGCCGTGCCATCACTGGAGGATGCAATACAATGTGAGTCTATGCGTATTTAGCCACACGAGGCGTCCAAATTTTATTGGTTTATTTAAAACGTACTAAGTAACAATTAAATAATTAATTATACATCTTGTGATCAAAAATTAGAATATGTTAAAATAATGGTGTATCATATGTACTAGAAACTATAGGTATAACATTTTTATAAAGTAATAAATACCGAAATAATATTGGTAATCATATAGAAATAGAGAAAGTGACAATAAGTTATACAAAATATTCTAGTATAAAAATATTCATAAAAGCGTATAAATATTAATGAATTACTTAATATAATATATTTATAAGGATTTAACGTAAAATAAATTGAAAAAAAATGAAATAATTATTAGTAGTATATCTAACAAATAGAATATTAAAATGAAGTATATTTTCAATAATAATATAATTTTATAAACTTCAGAATATATTAATCAATTTAAAATGTAAAAGATAAAATTGTTGACTAGATCTTCAAAAAATAAAAATAAAACGAGACAAAACTAGATGTTGTATTCCTTAAGTGTTTATGAATACCTAATACTAATGATAAACAATTTCAAATAATTTATCATATTTACCATAAAAAATATATACAATATTTTTGTGTTTTGAGTGATAAAAATTATAAAAATACTAAATAGTGAATAAATAATGGATTGTAAATATTGGTAAATAGCGTAAACAAAAATAAAATATTTATTATAATACTAGTGGACATGTATTTAGATAAAAAATATTACACTATTTTTCTTCTTAGTTTATGTTACCTTAGTTAAAATGGAATTGTATTGGTTTTTTGCAGCAAGAAGGGCGACTGGGAAGCAGCCTGTGGTGTGACGGTAAGCTGGCTGGCATCCAAACTGGCGTTGGCGTAGGGTCGTTGATTTATACACCAGTAAATGAGTACGGCTTGTGGATATCCGATAACAAGAGGTAAAAACTTGTTGTTGATTTCCGGGTAGCGAATGAGCTTAGGATGAAAAAAATTGCTATACGTATCATACGTATCAGTAATACATATGTCATATTATAAGCACTATAAGCTTGAATTTAAAAAGCACATTAAACTTGATTTTATTAGTTTTATTCTCATATATTCAATAGGTACTATATAAGTCATGAGATAAAAATATGGTGTCTGATTAGACAAGAATATCATAAGGATAAATGATTTATTTGATATCACTTCAAACAGAATATTTTAGATACACAAACATTTTAATCTTGTAAAATGAAAGTAGTGTTATTTCACATTATGTATAGGTTGGGTGAAAATACATTTACTCAAAAGTGTATGTATCGAATATAAATTATGAACACAAATAATATTTAATAGGAATTCAAAACAAAAATATCTAAAAAAAATTTTTATAGCAGAACTTTAATATACTCATGCAAATAATTTTTCAGAATTGAAGAAAGAAGATGAACAAAATGTTGACCGGATGAAGATCTTGTGTATTAAAAGACTGTGCAATTATTAAAATATTTAATTTATTTGATATCTATTTTATGTATCTACTATTTATTGATAAGTTTTTTGATTGTATCAATTTTTATTTCATATAACTTTATAAATTAATTTTAAAATATTGAACATCTATAACAAAACAATTTATATTTTTTTTTCATTTCCATTGCTTAAGGTTTTCAAAATCATTATAAATGAATCAAAACATTCGTTTTTTAATCTTTCATTCGAGAGATTATTTCTATCATTAGGGTTCGGATAGTTTTTATTGTAATAACCTGTCTACAAAATAAGATCGTTTATTATTTATTTTTTTTTTAATAACTAGTAGGCATTTTATATCTGGCTGGTTTTTATTATCAGAAATCTTTTTGTTCCGTACAACATTGGTTTTATTACCTGACTAGCTGACTAAGAACATAATGGGGTTGGATACAAGGTCACTTATTGAAGGGAACGACGAACGTCCGTCAGCCTTATGTTGTTATGATGATCTTTATATAAAATTATGTTTTAGAATACTTATGAAGCCACATTTTTTTCTTTGTAAAAAACTTAACGTTTATAACTTACAAAAATAATTACGATAGAATTTCCATCCTAAAATAATATTATTGAATTAATCGAAATGTGTGATCAAGTTATACTTTCTTATTTCGTATAAAAATCTTTTGTACCGCATTGTTAAACGAAACCTAACTTTTTAATTTTTTACGTAATTACTTTAATTGATTGTCAGGATTGTTCTCGTTTATAAGAATTGTAATTGTATCCTAACAAGTAAATATTTTTTATTAATTTATTTGTATTTATAATTTTGATATTTTTATTTTATTTTATTTTATTAATATAAATAGCTCTTTGAAACAAATATTTAAATAATATTTACTTATGTTTTTTTTTTTTTTTTTTAATCAAGATTATATAAAATCTTCTAATCATCCAAAATTATTTAAACTTTTTTATTAAATTTTTTTTAAAACAACAACATTTATGTTATTATACAAGTATACAAATTAATAAGTCAATTAAGTTTAATCAAATATACCAACTTATTCATGATTTCAAATTAATTATTTCAATATAAAAATACAAAAATGTATATAAACTAAATTTATATTTTCGTCTTGACGAATTTATTTTATTTATTATTATTATTTTTTTTTTTATTGGTCTTCAAACTAAGTTTTAAATACATTTTTGTAAATTATTATTGGGATTATTTACACGTTATCCTTACACAGTTACAATATAAATCTATATTTAACAATTTTTAGATAAAAATATAGATACATATTTTACAAAATATAAATAATTTATAGTGTGAAAAAATTTTAATAATAATAATATATATAATAATAAAAAAATTATTTATAATCCTTTAGAAATAATAAATCAAGTATTTTAATTTTCTTAAAGAATTTTACAATTTTATTTTCATTTTATGGATTTAGTTCCAATTTTAATTGTATTATGAAATGTATTTTTAAATTTTTACTATCAATAAATTACTATACCTACTTATTATTCATAATCTAAATTATTCGTTATCAATCTACTAATTTAGTGCAGTTTTTTTTTTCATACTCTTTAGGTTTGGCTGTGTTAGGTTAATTATTACAACTTGACAATGAAAACATTTACAGAATATATTAGTAAATATAAAAAGCCAGAATTTATTGAGAATAGAAAAACTACTAGGTGCGTTAATCCATATTTGTATTTTTGTAACAATCAATTATCCATTTATTATCTATATACTTACCTAATTTTTTTGAAAAAATATATTTTAATTTATTTTATAATACATTAGTACCTAGTATTTTTTTTCTCTCATTAAAACATCACTAAAGAATATTATTATATTTTTAGTAAAAAAACAAATAAACTAATTTTATTTATCATTATTTATTTATTTAAACTTGAAACCATGAAATTTTGCATTTAATTAACATAAATAAGCTAAAGTGGTGTTAGTAATGAATTAATGAGTACTATACTAACTTATTCGACATATCAGATGTACTAATTATACTATGTAAGCATAATTAATAATAATATTAGTTGGATTAAAAGCGGTTGTTATCCTAACTATACACTGATAATTCATGTTATTACATTTTAATTCGAAATGCATTTTTTTGTACTTTATTTTTGTTTTGTGTTTCGAAAATATGACTTAATTTTAAATCGATTTAAAATATCCTAATTTTATAAACGATATAAGACGTAATCAAAAAACTATCAGTCTTTTAAGATGTTTATAGTAATGAATTTAGTATTTAATATATTTGTATATAGTACATAGGTTAGGTTACACTTTAACTGGTATCTATTTCGTACTAAATTCAACATTGATTAAATTTAGATTTAATTGATGTATTATAAATGTTAAGAACCAACGCTTGTTTCTAAATATCACACTCGACGAATTATCTAAGAAGGAAAAAGAAAGTTATATTTGTTTTAATAATGTACTCGGGTAAAATAATAATCGATGTAATATACGCTTATACCTACCTAGTAGGTACACACGGTAAATATGGAAAGTGAACGCGTGTTCTTGTGTGTAATTGATGTTAGTCATGAGCACAACTCATAAGAATAGACCACTCGAACCGATCACTCACGGTTACTCATCAACAGACTTTAATTGTACAGATATTACCTATTCCAAAATTAACGGTGCCACAATCGTTTTCTTACACATGTTTTTCTTAAGCACGTGCATTTTCAAAGTCAACGTCCCCCGTCAAAAACGTATCATCGGTAAAACGATCGAAATATATTATCTGAGGAACGCAAAAACGGATATACACCGCACGCTACGTCGAGTAAATTCATCGCATTCGATACCGTGTACGGACGTTTTTTTTTTTTAACGTTTTTTCGCATTCGTTTTGGACCGCGACGGTACATCGACGACGGTGGCAGCGACGGTTACCCGCGAAGCAGTAAATACCAGTATTGTGGTCCGTCTTGCCGTCAAAACAACCGACGACGACGTGTCGACTTTACGCCAACGCTTTCGGCGCGTCACATTACCGTGATACGTATGTTACCACGTTTGATTATTTTCATTGTTATTCTACTATAACGAATAGAACCCCTGTTGATAGGGATTAAAATAGTATCAACAGTCTAATCCAACTTGATAGTAAAAGGCGATTAAAAGGATTAGGACAATCGAGTCCTCCGCAAACAGGGGGTAATGGCCGCCACTGGGGGGGATATCTCCTCGGTGTTCCCACTAAAGGCCCATCACTATAGTCGGATTGGGAATCCAAAATAGTGGGAGAAGTTCGCCTCGAGTTGATCTACCGATGTCAATTTTAAACCTAGAGTCGGTATCACGGGAGAGGGAAGCCCCATCAGGTCTAGGACTGGCAACAGTCTGAAACTCGATGCCCCTCAAGGTCGAGGGGGCCTACCTCGGCTGAAATGTGGTGGTTGTGGGACAAGCGCTGGTATAGTATAACAAACTGAAACCACCCTACCTTAGTGGGAGGAAGGACCCAGCTGAGGTGAAAACCGACCGGGATCAGAAAGGTACGGGTCTAAGCCCGGTGCTGGTGGTTCATAAAACGACCCGGAATCGTCTCAACGGTTCTGAACCTCCGTGGCCCGCAATCAGCTCCTACAGCCAGAAAACGGTAGGCACGTGGTCGTGAGGCCAACGCCTCAAATCGTGGATATCCTCTGCAGTAACGAACAGAGTACGTATACAGGAGCATATTATATCGTTATTAAAGCAGCAGGAGCAGCAGCAACAACAACAACAACAACAATAACAAGAGCGCGTACGATTCGTGCGGTGTGTGACGTCACCTTCGGCGTCCTTGCCCACGGTCGTCCGGGGGATTCACTTTCTTCCGAACCGGTGCACCGCAGACGACGGCGAATGCGACGCGCACACGCTCGGCTCGGGCCCCTCCGACTCTCTCCCATTCTCTCTCGCTCACTCCTCCTCGCTCGACCACGCCACCGCAACTCCCGTCCCCCCCGGAACGATGCAGGTGTATAATATACCTGGCCGTAACGCGCGCGCGGTCATCGCGCGCACTGGAAACCCGGCGTGGCGGCGGGCGGGGGCGAGCGGCGTTTACTCCCACGATTTTCGGCGGCGGCGGCGGCGGCGGCGGCTGTTAGAAGAGATCCCGCGCGACGACGCGACGCAGTGCCGCAGTATCCGCGGGCCCCGAAATACTTACGGTCCGCTCTGGTTCGCGTCTGTTATGTGCGTTAATCGTCCGCACCGCCACCGCCAGCACTACTCTGCCAGGGACGACGACACGCTTGGAACATGTGGTCGAGATGCGTCCTGATATTAGGTTAGTCGGATCACGTGAAATATAATATACCTAAACAATTATAATGTATAACGTCTCTAATATTATATTGTGGTGCTTGAAATTAACTACGGCAATAATAGGTAGGTACGTCGTAAGCGGGTATGGGGTGGTAGGTGGTAGGTTAGGCGCACAAAGCAAAAAAAAAAAAAAAAATTTTAAAAAATAATATCTCTTACCACCGATGATGACCGTGTACTGTGCATGTGTATCTGGACGCACCTACCCCCCAGTAATCAGCAGCGCCCGTTCGGTTATATCTGCACATAGGCACGTCGTTTGACCATAATGCTATTAATTCGTTTAATCTAGTGTTCGTTTTTTTTTTTTTTTTTAAAGTATCCGATAGAAATCAGTAAAAAAAAAATAATAAATTATAATAATAATATCAGTTACGACATTGATCGAATTGATTAAAAAAATCATCTAATAATTTTCAAAAAAAAAAAATTATGCAAAATTATCAAATTAATGAACACATTAAAATAATTTGTACTCTGGTTTACTTTAAACCGGGCGCATGTAAACTCCACCGATTGCGACCTTTTTAGACCTTTTTTCATGTAAACTCCACCGGTACGTTTTTTTTACCTGAAAAAAAATGTAAACTCCACCGGTACGTTTTTTTTACCTGAAAAAAAAATGTAAACTCCACTGGTATGTTTTTTTTTAAAAATGTAATCCAAATCCAATCTGATTAATTAAGTTTACATAATTTATGTGG